CCCTCAGAACCCAGGTCATGAATTTCCCTGGGAGAAACTGGGGTTGGAACACTGGCAGAGGGTGACAGAACCCAAGGAGCCTCCTGCTCTTCTGGCTTCTCTGGTTAGATACAGCACTTGATGTCTGAGCCGAGCCATGGGACATGTTGCCCTCGGTTCTCCCACCCTGTGAAGCTCCAGCCTGCCCATCCTGGGAGACATCTGTCCCTGGTGTTCCCTAGCTGTGTCAGCTGGAGCAAGCTATTCATGTCCTTTCACAGCCTCAGGTGGACACGCTCACCCACAGTGGTCACCGTGGCTGACAGACACAGGTGAGGCTGGGTCAGGGAATAGAACACAACAGCTTCTTGGGATCCGTAGAGGATGGGTTCCAGGTAGCCCTGCCTTCCAGGGTACCCACATCCAAGGAACCTCAAGTCCTTTATGCAAAGGGGCGAGGCATATGCAGCAGCCCTGCAGCCCTCCTGGGTACTTTGAACCTAGATGACTCAAATACCTACTGTGATGCAAGTGCTACGTGAATAGTCACTACACTGTGTTGTTTGAAGAATAATGACAAGAAAGAAGTACGTCTGGTGTTTAGGACAGTTGCAATTTAAAAAATACATTTTCAGTCTGCGGTTGGTTGAAGCCACGACTCAACTCGGGCATGCGGAGGCTGACTGTGCCTGTTCCACCGGCTGGTCCCACGGGCTGCAGGGCTGAGAAGGCCAGAGGTGCAGGTGAGGAGCTGGGTGTTCCCTCTTCCCAGCATCTGGAAAGAGCTCAGAAATGAATGTTGCTTCCACACCCCGGTTGGGCTTTTTCCCAGTGTTTCACCAAAAAGCAGCTGCTAGAATTTGGGAGGTGACTGTCACAGATAGGGATCTGAACCAAATGATTCCCCAGATCAGAGCGAGCAGTCCAAACCTACTCAAGTAGGAGACCTGCTCAGATATGACTTCATGCTGATTTGCAAATGAAGGTAAAATACAGCCATGGGGAGTTACCACATGCAAATGAAGAAAACTCAATTCCAGAGACTATTGAGCTGGAACAAGTGGGAACCTCGAAGGGGGTCTGTGGACTGAATACAGGGAGATGTGACAAAATGTGTGACTTCAGTTCTCGGAAATGTCCCTTCATCCAGTTTAAGGGGAAAACAAGGAAGAGAGATATTAGCACCAGAATCAGGGCATCTCAGCCCCCAGCTGGGAGCTGAAGTTGGACACACCTTAAATGACAATGAATCCTTCCAAAAAAAAAAAATTATCTGCTTTAAATAACTGCTCCCCTGACATCTTGATGAGCTACCAATCATGTTTTATTATTATCAACTTTAAAATATCCTCACTTTGAAAATTTGAGTCATGCAAGGCCGTGCAGAAGCTTCCAGCTTAGGTTCCAGGGTTAGCATCCCACCTCTGGCACCTGTCAGGGTGATGGCCTGGGAAGCCACTGAACACTTTGAACCTTGTTTTTTTATCTTTTGTGAAAGATAAAATAAAATCTACTGGGAAGACTCTTTAGGATAGAAGATTATGTAAATACATATATGTCACATATATGACTTACGTGTTTGTACGTATTTTCTTCTAGGTAGTACCGTGAAAAATGAGAATCGACTATGTGTGTGTCTTATAAACAGCATATGGATAGATTTTGTGAGTTTTAAAAAATATGTTTTTAAATTAGCAATCCTCATCTTTTGACCGAAGTACTGAACACATTTATATTTAATAAAATTAGTAATGTATTATATTTCATTGGTTTTTTTATATGCACAACTTTTTTTTTTTTTTTGCATCGTGTATCTGAAATCGATATGCATTTACAGTGCCGGCTGCTTTCCATTATTGCGACAAAATACCTGAGCTAATAAACATAAAAGGAGAAAAGGTTTACTTCAGTGTACAGCTTTGGAGGTCTCAGTGCATACTTGGTGGCCCTGTTGCTTTGGGGCCTGTGTGGGAGCAGCATATTATGGTGGCTACACATGGCAGAGGAAGCTGTCACCTCATGGACAGAAGTAAAAGAAGAGGTAGGGTCCCAGTATTCCCTCAGGGTCACTCCTCAACGGCTGGAAGACCTGGGCTGAGCCCCATCTGCTAAAGGCTCTGGCACCTCGCAGGAGCACCACAGGGTGGGGACCAGGCCCTCACACATGGGCCGAGGGGGACATTGTTGGGGGCACTTGTCCAGAACTGGCCCTCAGTGTTGTAGAGTCGTGGGGATGATGTGTTGTCCTGCCTCGGCACCAGCAATGGCATCCATAGAAAGGGGGCCCAATCTTGAAGGCTATCTAGGAGCCCCCAGGTGCCCCCCTTCATAAAAGGCTCTGTGCCCAAGTTCTCAGTGGACCAGATTCATGTTGTGTGGAAAAGTACAGATACCTACAGCCCATGCCCAGAAAAATACTAAAAAGGTAGGTTCTGAGCGTAAAGAAGTTTGAGAACTATCCTAACCCACTTACCCTGCTTCTGTAGGCCCAGGAGTGACCCATGATAAAATATATGGAAAAGCTCACCCTTAATCATAAAGAAAACTCTGAGTGTTAGGAGAGTGTCCTACAGTTTGATGGGCAGTGTCCGTCTTCACTAAACCTACCCACGGCCACGATGCCTCCTGTAACCACTCCCTCCTGGGGTCCCTGAAGAGGACTCACAGCATGTCTGACACTGTGAGCAGCACCTCCACTGGGCTTTGCTCTGGGGAAATTCCACTACCACGTTCAGCTGTACATTTTGCTTTAAAAAATATATATATATTGCCTAGGATCTGTTAGGCTTCTTAAATCCGTATATAGGCGATTTTCTGTTTCCTTCTGTTCTTTTTGCTCCTCTTGCTTTTTGACTTTATATTTGGACCTCTCTACCCTTTGGGAGGTAATATACTACTTTTAACCTTCGGCGTTTTTTACTTGTAAAATTAGCTGACACATGATGATGATCGTGTCAGAGTAGAAATGAATCAAAACCTTGGCTCTAATAATATAAAATCTCAGCATTAATTCCATCCACGTATTTCCTGATGCCAAGGCTGCCATCAGTTGTTACTTTAATTTCAGCTTTTAAATGCTAACCCCCCTTAGATGTCATCCCTTTCCCTTGCTGGGATCCTGACCCTTTCCCTGGTCTTTAGCTCCTTCTTGGTCTCAGACCTTCCATCTGGGCCCTTGTTTCTGCCTGAGCCTTGAATTCTCTGGAATTTCCCTTCCTGAGGCTCTGCTGGGGACTAGGGCTCCACCGCTCTCTGGATGGTATTTTACTGACCCCAGACTGGTGTTTTTTTTTTTTTCCTTTCAGCACAATTATAATGCAGCTCCACTGGTCCTCATTTCCTGCCGTTGCTGTCAGATGTCATCTGTGAGCGTCTCCACTGAACTCTGTTTTGAGGAAATCTCACTACAAGATTCAGCTGTAGATTTTGCTTTAAGGGAATATATATATATATATATA